TGTGTCGAGGTTTCCAAAGGACGAAAGTTCCGAGTGCCCTAAGTACATAAGAGTCGGCTAACATCCGCAACGCTGCGAGTAAAATACAACACCTGTTTCTACCTCTTAAATGACTCAAGAAAAAGAGAGAAAAAAATGGCTCTAATCTAAAAAAAAAAGTATCCCCGGGTATAGATTTGATTTTAAAGATGTGACGGTAAAAACCATCTTATTGTGTGACAGATTTCACTGGTGGATATTTTATCGACTGTCACCTTAAACACGGTATAACAAATATCGACCTATGGAAGGATAAGTTTCGTTATTTCTAGTTGAGGCGACAGTACGCGAGAGTGTTCTTACATACAGGTCATGGCAATACAAATACTGAGGACACAATAGAGGACTATAAAGAACAGTACAGGACAAATGCAGCGAAAGTTTCGGTAAGAGGTGGTAGATGTCGGAAATAGCGTGATTACAGAGTAGGGTGGTAATGGGTGGTAGAAGAAGTAGGAAATAGCGTGATTACAGAGTAGGGTGGTAATGGGTGGTAGAAGATGTAGGAAATAGCGTGGTTACAGAGTGGGGTGGTAATGGGTGGTAGAAGATGTAGGAAATAGCGTGGTTACAGAGTGGGGTGGTAATGGGTGGTAGAAGATGTAGGAAATAGCGTGATTACAGAGTAGGGATGTAATGGTGGTAGTAAAATATTGTCACGCTCAAGTGAACGAATTGAGCGAAAAGTCATAAAGAAACCCCATTCGCTAATGGCACACTTGAAAACCTGAGCTTAAAAGCAAACGTACAGTTGATATGGACATCTGTTGCCTAAGATGACAAAAAACAGAGATTATGTTTAAAAAACCACGACAAAGACGGAGAAGAGAAATCGTGAGCGCACAATTCTACTGTAAAGATAACGTAGTTCGCGGGACACTATAAAATGCTAAAGATGTATGGATCGTGTAAAGTTTGATGTAAAAGACGACAGATTTGGTTAAAAAGATACTAAGTCAAAAAGTGTGTTCTCCATTCAGTGACCCTGCCAACCGTTTTACATGAAAGCTCAACCCTTCTGGTTACAAGAGTGTAAATTATTACAGCTTGCCGTTCTTATCAGGGGAGGCTACCAACGTACAAAATTGAATTTGGGCCAATCTCCTGGGCCAGGTAATAAAGGGAGACATATCGACGTGCAAGATAGTTGCTAGGCATTCCCTCTATTTGCCCCAAGACTAACAGCGCCCAAAGCAAACACCTCGTGGGAGGGGCGGGGTAGGCAAATGCAAAGCAACACAAACCTTTCATAAGAAGAACACAGACTTGCAGAGTGAGATTTTTTTTTATTTGACGCACGGGTTCATGTTTTAATCAAAGAAATTAATTGCTGGGTTTTTTAAAATTGTATTGTAAACAGAAATGTGCAATATAAAAAATAATTAATTATAATTGTGTAAAAGATGTAAAGTAGCTGAGAAATGCACTTAATAGACTCGGCATTATAGTAGAGACACTGTCAAATGACCATTTCAAATGTTTAATAGATGTCAGTCCCCACCTCACACACTTTGAGACCCACGGGTAAGCGCTTCAGCTCTGTGTGTGTGTGGGAATGATGTATTACCTACACAGTTTTAACTCATTAAGGAAATCAATACATTTTAATTAATAGAGTTCTCTCTTCCACTCCTAGACAGATTCGTTTATTTTACTTATTTGAATGTGTGATACAGTGGAGCATACAGTTAGAAATGTATACTTCACTTTAATGACACGAATCTGCAAATAATTAGAAGAAAATATTTTTAAAGATTCGATGAAATAGGTTTGAGAGGAGTTTTTTTTCACGTTCCATTGAGCGTGGTCCACTATATTGTTCTATGCACAAGTGTTTTAAAGATCTTTGTCCACAAATATTTCTAAAATCACCATTAATTACTTCGCTGCAATTAGACTGCAGTTTAAACACTGTCAAATTCTCCGATTACCAAAAAGATAACCAACATTTGACACGGGTATCATTCATACAGCACGACTTGCCGTTGGCTCATTTGACATAACACGACTTATATGACTCAACATTCACTTGACTTACAATTCTAACTTAAAGCTCTGAAAATGAGGCTACTACAGATGTGATCAAATATTGACCCAAGATTCGGAGCTCTACCACAAGATCGTGACATTGATACTACAAAAGTGAGCATGTCTCTAAAACCCGGCCATCAGAGCTCTAACACAAGATCGTGACATTGATACTACAAAAGTGAGCATGTCTCTAAAACCCGGCCATCAGAGCTCTACCACAAGATCGTGACATTGATACTACAAAAGTGAGCATGTCTCTAAAACCCGGCCATCAGAGCTCTAACACAAGATCATGACATTGATACTACAAAAGTGAGCATGTCTCTAAAACCCGGCCATCAGAGCTCTAACACAAGATCATGACATTGATACTACAAAAGTGAGCATGTCTCTAAAACCCGGCCATCAGAGCTCTAACACAAGATCATGACATTGATACTACAAAAGTGAGCATGTCTCTAAAACCCGGCCATCAGAGCTCTAACACAAGATCATGACATTGATACTACAAAAGTGAGCATGTCTCTAAAACCCGGCCAATACACGCCAGTGCTGTCATACAACTCCTAGGGTGGGAAAACCACACGGCAATAGATGTTAGCCTTGTGACAACTGATAAATTATGGAAGAGTGAGACACAAGTAAGGCTGTGCTGGTTATTGTCTTCTGGTCTAACAATGACATCTTGGATGGATGGTTAGGCCAGGTATTAAGTACACGTTTGAACAACATAGTGAGGGCAGTAGACGTGTAGAATCTTTTTTTTTTTTTTACTTTTTACTTTATAGTCATTAACAGCGCCAACTGTGTTTAGTATTAATCTACTAACGTATTTATAGCCGAACCCCAAATCATAAATCTTTTTTACACTATAAAGAAAAAAAAAAGATAGGATTTTATATCACAATCTTTGGCTCCCCCCCCCCCCCCCAAAAAAAAAGTGTCCTCTAGGATATTCCAACGCTAGCTATTATCACGATCTGAGCATGACCTCCACTTTTTATCAACATGTCAAGCCATCCTTCCGCCGCTATCTACATCAAGTTTTCTCTATCTCAAACAAGAGCCTCTTGCCCAAAAGTTATCGCAAAAGTATGGGGACGAGTTGCTTTTTTAAAAAAAAGAAAATTACCAATGGAAACCAAGGAACAAACCTTCATTTAGTTCACTTCAGGTAACTGTAATACTGCCAAGGAGGCATGTTTTATCTCGCTGTATACACTTCAGAACGATGCACCATCTTTCAAGTTACCGCCCTTTACCATCACAATACATTGTTATGACACTGCTTCAAGAACTATTGTAAAACGATCAGAGTTGGAATCAATCCATCCTCATCATACATTGTTTTAACTGAAACGATTTTTGCACTGGCTTTGCTTGGTCTCAGAAATTATGTATGGTGTCGTCGCCCCTAACGAACACAGCTTTGTTACGACTGTAACGTGCGTGACAGGGACAACTCTCAACACTGGTCCCCGCGTGACACCCGCACGTGAAAGATGTAAAGATAAGACAAACAAGGGGTCAAAGGTGAGGTGTAGGCCGCACCTTCACGGTTCATTTCTTTACAGGCTTCATACAGCTAGTCTATTGCCAACAAAAACAAGAGGGGAAAAAACAACTGTCGATCTTGGGAAGAAGTTACTTATAATTATGCTATAATCATAACTTAAAAGCCACCAAAAACCTCTTTTAAATGTAGCAAATCAATAACGGACTGCTGTCAATATTCCTATTGTATCTCAAAATCTAATCGCCCCACCAGTCCCCATTCACCACCACAGTCTCCTGTGTAATAGCCCATGCAAGAACTGTATAGAAAAGTAATTAAGTTGAGGGGAACAAAGTGGACATTAAACATTTAATAAGAAATGGCTGGATTGTTGGAACTAGAAACATAATTGGTCACAACAGAGACAGGCAAAACTTGGTACCATTCTAAGAAAAGCTAATGATTGCCTGAATTTTCATCAGGCAAGATATTAAAACCCCACAACAGGGATTGAAGCAGGGATTGTTTGTTCATGTTACAGCTTTATATCTAACAGGAGAAGATTGTGTGGGGTCCATAGGGGAGCAGAGACCTCAGTATATTAAAGTGTTATGTGGTCAGCACCATGCTTAGCCACCACTGTTTTTCAAGACATGAGCAGGGTGTAAACTACTATAGAGCACCAAACTTGGGATTTAAGGCTAGAAATTACACAACCTATAATACTAATAAAATATATCAGCTTACATAATATAAAAATAGCCTGCACACAAACACAACATTTGATCAAAATATTAGAATCTAATCAGTTTGTCACTTCTAAAGGTTAGAATTAACTTACCGTTGCAATGATCTGTAAAAGTCGTTTATAGTCATTTATTTTTTAAACAGTAAAATAATATATACTTCAATTACAACAGTTGGTCAAGTACACATAAAAAAGATGTGAAATAGTAGCAAACAATAATGAAGGCTTGTTTTAATTAGCCTTATTGATAGTAAGTAAAAAAAGTTAAGTTCATGGTGGAGGTGAAGTAGTGTTTCCCTCTTTCAGTGATCTTGGCATATGAAAGAACAGTGTGGTCAGCACTACGCTCAGCCACCTTACTTTCCTTAATGTGAGTCCGGTAGGCCTATCCATCAGAGTTGGGTTAGCAGTTGTATGCTCTTCCAACAAAGCATGACGTTAATGATAGTAATAATTCATAAACAACTCAATACTACACTCAAAAAGAGAGTTAAAGAATTAATATTTAAGAGTTGATGAACAGTAAAAATTGCCAGTTGGTAAACTTTTGTTTGAAAATTTTTCTGGAAAAATGACACAGTCTCATCTAATCTGCAAGTCTAGTAGAGTTTAGACAAATGTTTAACTACTTGGAAAGGTGGTTCACAAACACATTGAAGGGATGAATAACTTAGAGAAGCCACTTACTGAGTGATGCAAAGTCATGTCCATCTAAGGCAGGTGATGTCCAGCTATTGCTCTGGCTAGGGCCCGGTGAGTTCTCCAGGGCTCCACCATCTGGGGGAGGGGATAAGGCAGTAGTTCTTGCATGTTGCTCCAACAGTTCTTGGTACTGGTGTTTTAAGGAATTGATCTCTTTCTGAAAGAAACAGGGATGAAAATGCCAGGCCAGTCTGTTTGAGCTAAACTAATTCAAGCTAACCAAAAATAGCTTGGCATTGTGTCTTTTGAATACTAAAACAGTTTTGCACAGGCATTTTGATACATAAATAATTTGAATTAGTTTTAAATAAACAACAATAGGTCACATTTTTTATAGTGTCATAGAGGATTGGTATAAGTTAAGAGGACAATTGATGGAAGAGGGTTAAAGCTGTGTTAATTGAAGACTGAGCAGGATAATGATTGGTAGAGGTTAAGCTTTTGTGTTGATTGAACACTACACAAATGATTGCAAGAGGTTTAGGGATTGTGTTAATTTAAGACTGTTCTATAAAGTCTGTGCTCAACACAGCATTTGACTAGGGATACAACAATCATAAAATATGTTGGAAACACCCTTGGGTTTATTTGGAACCCTAGTAACAAATAAATATAACCACAATATTTTGGTATGATGTTCTAAATATTCAATTAAAAATAATTCCAAGCAACGGGCTGGTAAAAGAATGTTGAGGTTTTTAAATTAACCAGTAGATAAGAGAAAGCAGTGGTAAACCTACCTCTCTGGTTTCAAGCACACCTCTGATGTTAGAGAGCTCTAATAGAATACAGTGGTAAACCTACCTCTCTGGTTTCAAGCACACCTCTGATGTTAGAGAGCTCTAATAGAATACAGTAGTAAACCTACCTCTCTGGTTTCAAGCACACCTCTGATGTTAGAGAGCTCTAGTAGAATGCAGTGGTAAACCTACCTCTCTGGTTTCTAGAGAGCTCTAATAGAATACAGTGGTAAACCTACCTCTCTGGTTTCATGCACAGCTCTGATGTTAGAGAGCTCTAATAGAATACAGTAGTAAACCTACCTCTCTGGTTTCAAGCACACCTCTGATGTTAGAGAGCTCTAGTAGAATGCAGTGGTAAACCTACCTCTCTGGTTTCTAGAGAGCTCTAATAGAATACAGTGGTAAACATACCTCTCTGGTTTCAAGCACACTTCTGATGTTAGAGAGCTCTAATAGAATATAAACCTACCTCTCTGGTTTCATGCACACCTCTGATGTTAGAGAGCTCTAGTAGAATGCAATGGTAAACCTACCTCTCTGGTTTCTAGAGAGCTCTAGTAGAATGCAGTGGTAAACCTACCTCTCTGGTTTCAAGCACACTTCTGATGTTAGAGAGCTCTAGTAGAATGTGGTGGTAAACCTACCTCTCTGGTTTCTAGAGAGCTCTAGTAGAATGTGGTGGTAAACCTACCTCTCTGGTTTCTAGAGAGCTCTAGTAGAATGTGGTGGTAAACCTACCTCTCTGGTTTCATGTACAGCTCTGATGTTAGAGAGCTCTAGTAGAATACAGTGGTTTAAAACCTACATATCTGGTTTCTAGAGAGCTCCAGTAGAATGCAATGGTAAACCTACCTCTCTGGTTTCAAGCACAGCTCTGTACTGGCTGGAGATAGCATTGATCTGAAGCTCAGAGGCCTCAGCTTTTTCCTCCAGGTCTTTGTTGATACGTTTAAGTCTTTCATTCTAGGAGAGAGAGAAAGTATGACTACATTCTAATCTAATAAAGCTAATTGTTTGCCTCTATGAAATAGAAAACAACTGAATTTTAAAAACAAACCAACTTTTATTAGATAGTAATTAGGTTTGAAAAATAACAAAACTGCTAATTGCCAAAGAGATAGTAGTCAGATATACAAGTGGTTGACTCTAATAAGATGCCAATGAAATACAGTGTAACACTAACACTGATAACAATGCTAGCCAAGAATTTGATACCTTTTTAGATTAGTCTTGTGTTCAAAGCAATCACTTTAAACTTTAATTCTATCTTTAACATCTGTTACACAAGTTATTTTGGTTATAAAAATATTTAGAAATCTATTTTAGCTTTACAGTATTTCAGGGATGTGACCAGACCAGGAAAAAAAATTAGGAAATTTTCTTCGGACAAGAACTCTATGTTTTATCCATTTTTTAAATCTCAGTTAAAGCACCCTCACGCCATTACTATTCTAATTAATCGTTTAATATATAGCTAATATTATAAATAAAAGAAGTTTATGTTACTCTAAAATGACATTGAAAGTCTTGTCTAGTTGCAATTTAATGTTTAATTTATAAACAACTTTTTAAAAAAAATTACATTTACAATGTAATAAAAGTGGCAATTAAGTTTAACATTAAGCTAATTTAAAGTGTACTAATCTAGTCTAGTTACACTTTTGTTTTCAATTTTAAATTATGCCTTATATTCTTTTAAAGATTGTAATGGTAAAAATGTTAGTCTTCAACTGTAAAATGCCTAGATTCAGATTAATTGAAATTTGAAAGTTTTAGGTTTCTGTGATGGAAAATGAAATTGACCAGATTAGCTGAAATTAGAAAGGGTCTGATATGTGAACCAAAGTTAACAATTTCGATAGCCAAACCACATCGTTATTTTTGTTTTTGGAATGGCTGTAAATTGTTTGAAGTCATCCATAAATGAGGTTTTTTTTTACGATTTTTACCTCTCCTCTCCATCACAAAAGACAGACCCCCCCCCCCCCACCCTCAAAAATGACGTCACACCTCAACCAACAACCGCTCCCCCTCCTCAAAATTGAATTTGAATTTTTTTTTAAACATCGATTTTTTCCTTCTAAAATATTGACTGAGCTCGACCAACATAGGGTAATTTAATTAATTAATTTATATTACAATTTTTAAAAAGTTTTCTAAAACACGTAATAGCTGCTAAAATTCAGTTTCTAACATTACTTTTTTAAAATAAAAAATATGACGTCACTCTATCTGACCCCCTCCCCCTCATTACACGTCACAAAATTACGGATCCCCCCCCCCCCCCCCGAGTGTGACGTTATTTATGGAAGACCCCTTATTAAAAACAGTCCATATCTTACTTTTTCTTCAGAGTCACGTTGAGAGAGTTTTTTTTTTTTAAATCTATAGGCCTATAGCATAGGTATTGCAGGAACAGCTATTTGAAACTACTGTGACGTCATTTTAATTTTTTTCCCCACAAGTAGTATCAAACACGTACTAGGGGGGGGGGGGGTCAAGGTGAGGTCACAAGAGCCACGGCTGCTACAAGGGGGGGGGGGGGGTTAAGTCTAGTCCTCATTGTCACATTTTGCAAGGATTTTAATATACATTTTAGATAGCTAAATAAAATAAGAGAGAAACTGTAGATTTGGGTGAACAAAAATACAGAAAGGTAAATTAGGCTAAATCGATAGCTAGATTACCAGGCTTGGGAGATGCGAGTTTCATTTGAAGAAAGGCATTATTTTAGATTACTTTTCCCGTGTTTTTGATAAATATTCAACTGATATCAGCGGAAAATTTGGACCAAAAAATTGCGTTCTGAAAAATACTGAAATCCGCAGAAATTCTGAATCTTGACCTAGATCTATGTTTCATCTTAATCTAGCACCGTCAGACCTAGCGCAATCGTCTAATTAAAAAGAAATGTGCATATTTGACCTAAGTACTGTAATTCTCGATTTAAATACGAAAGTATGGAATGCGCAAGTCGGCCGTTTCCGTAGATGTCATTTTCGATTTTTTTTCCTAATTTTTAAAACTTCGGAAAAAATCGAAGATCGGCGGAAAAATTCGGCAAAAATGAAATCAGCGGAGGAAAATTGCAGCTGAAACGGAAAAATCGGATTTCCGCTAAAATTCGGAAAAGTCACATCCCTGAGTATTTGTTTAATTTAGAGTTAATATTTTAATATCAAATATGGCTGATCTAAAACAAAATTTTCTCGATATATATATAAAAATTAAAGTATGTTTGTTTGTCCTTTATGCATTACTACACCTTTCAGCCAATCACCATGAAACTTTGGGGAGTTGAGGATAATACACCAGGGGAGGTTTAAAAAAAAATTCAATTTTGCAGGGACGGTGTCCTGGCAGGGTGTGCTTTGACGCCCAGAGCTTATAAATGAGCACAAAGACGCATACGTTCGTTTTAAACAGTACTATAGACTATGGATAAAATGGGATATTATATTAAATTAAATCAGACGCATCAGCCGGTGCCCCAACAGGGTGTGATTGGCGCCCTGTGAGTATTATAGTGCAGGCATTGTTTACATTTAAATAAATCAGTTTTAAAAAACAAGGTCACACGTCTAAGAAAATAGGATTGTTAATGCACTAATGAAACCCTCTTAAAATATAGCAACTGCCAACTTAGCCAATACATGATCTCCTGCCATGTAATTAAATGGGGTGAAATATAGCAGTCAACATGTCTTTAAGTTGCTACTCAATTTAATATAAACAACAATAGAGCACCGCAGTCATTTAATAAACAATATTTTTTACAAATTAATGGGTAACAAATGTAGTAAAAAAATTATTCAAGTCTTTTTAAACAATAGAGAAGTTTAAAATCCTAAACTGTTAGGTGCTGCAAATGTGTTGAAACACTGTTTTTTTTTTAATAATATAATAATATATGTTTATTATCGGGCAGAAAATTGGAGTTGTGCATGTGTGGTCAAGACAGAATTTGTGGCTTTAAGTGTCTGCTATCTATGCTGTAATGTTAGCTTACAGATTTACATGTAGGAGGAAGAGAAAAAGCCTATCCAAGTATCTAAGACTTACTTCATGTTTTAGAGAAAATATGTGGCTTTAAGTGTCTGCTATCTATGCTGTAATGTGAGCTTACAGATTTACATGTAGGAGGAAGAGAAAAAGCCTATCCAAGTATCTAAGACTTACTTCATGTTTTAGAGAAGATAGAGTAGAATCTAACTGCTGGATCTTGTCTTTAGCAAGCTGCAGCTCTGTGGTGGGATCTGACAGAAGAGAAAATACAATGTGTCAAGTGCTGTGTTCTTCAGCATTTTATCTGGTGTTTTAAGAGCTAATTTACTGTTCTCACACAATAGCCAATGTTAAGGAAATGAAAATAAGTAACCTCTATTTTAAAATTATTTTATCATACAACATAGGTCTACTTGTTATACAGTAATCTATTTATTATTCATATAACCTTTTACTGTTTATGCCCAAGATACAGAGGGCACATGATGTTGATCTTTTTCTGTATGATCAGCACTATGCCCAGCCGCTTTAATTTTCCCTTACGTGACTTAGGAACACATCAGACCTGGGTAGACTCTGGGACATTCTAATGACTAAAACCCTTATTCAACTCGATGGTTTCGGGTTAACAGTCTAGCACTCTAGCACTAAGCTCTTTTATTCATATAAAAATATGTTATTTCTTTTCAAAAATTAGTTTTACAACAAACAATCTGACTATTAGTTTTTTAGTTTAATTAAAATTATTAAACACTATTTTTATAGATCTTTTTAAAAAAAACTATTTTGCCACTTTTATTATATACAATTATAGTTTACTGGGCCTCGGATAAAAATGTTGATTTAAAACAAATTAATTAAATCCCTTGTTCAGTTAAATGATAAGCAGTTTTGTATTTACCATGTTTTCACCTGTAAAATAACTTTTTATTCATGAACAAAACAATAAAAATTCCCAGTGTTTTGTCTTGAGTCTAAAATTCTGGTCTTCGATTGTATAACAACTGATAAGAAGATATTGAACTTTTAATGAGGAACACATGACACTTCCCATAAAGTTTCAAATTAAAATAATAATCATAGTGCAAAAGTGTAACAATTATAGCTTAAATACTGAAAAAATTTCTGTATTTTGAGCATTTAGAAAGAAAATGTGTTAAAAATTAGAGTAAAAATGTTACTGAAAATTAGTTTTATTTTAAAAAGACAAGTATGTCAGCTGAGTTACTCTATAATTTAAACAATTACCCTACATAGCTTATGATGTGTTCCACACATAAGAGACTATTAAAATACAAGAATTAAAAGAGACCATGTTGTAAAGCTCAAGCACAAAGAAGGGTACAATCCACATAGTTGACTGAGGTCAAAAAAACTGAGCCAAAGTCAATACTCCACCATTTACACAGCATCATATTTCAGGCTTTTTTACATCTGTGTCACTAGACTATAGTATGTTTAAACTAGAATAAATTATGTTCATCCTACACCAGTACAAGCTTTAGCAGGCACATTTCTATTAGATAACATTCATCAGAGTGTAGGTAATTTTGTTAGCTTTAACTTGGAATAAACTCAGTCTTGTTAGGTTCTTGTTAGAAATATAACCTGATGAACAGTAAACCTTCTAGCTTAAAACTATGAACAGTACTGAAGTTATTACCCTAAATATTAGTTTATCAAATACACTAAATATGTATCAATCAGCCTGTAGTAACAGAGGAATTACATGTTTTTTTCAACATTTTTTTTCATCCATAATTTTATAATTAACTGAAAAATAAAATGCAAAGATGGAAATGTAGACTAGTATACTCTTTAAAATAAATTAAAATGCATGTGTGTAAACACTCATGTACTTAAGTTTTATGTGTATTCATTATACTAATGTACATGTTTGATACTGTGCTGTGATAGTAAATGCAAAAGAAAAGTAAATGAACTGAGTTTTTCAAAGCTATTAGTTGTAAGATGCATGGATGTTTCAATCAAAAAAGGTATTGTATAACCTAATGAGCAGGGTAACCATTACCCTGTAGGTGGTTACAATTTCAATTAAAAAGATATGAGGTAGTGTATGAACTAATGAGCAGGGTAACCATTATCCTGTGTGGTGGTTACAACAGGGACTAAACAAACACCAAGTATCAGCTGGGGAAAGTTTAGTTTGTAGGTGGGGCAGGCTGATCAATGGATATAAATCTTGCAGAACCAGCTTGTTCTAAAATAAATGGTAATAAATACTTCCTGATAAGTGAAGACTTGGGGAGGGTGAGGGGAGATTAGGGTAGGGGCACTCAGGTGGACACAGCTATGACTCATATCATATCGACTGATAAGAGGAGAGAATAAGCCTCAGAAATGGCCACATTTGCAAGATAAAAAATATAACCGTTGCCTAGTTCCACAAACCAAAGGACTGACACGTATTCAAACTCGGGTAGCCAATCAAAAGCGTTTATGATAATGTGCTGACAAATGAAATCCAACAAAAAATGTAGAACATTCTCTGAACATTACAGTACCATAGCAAAGCAAAAATTAAAAAATAACTATTTCTTTAATGAAATACATATGTGTTTGGAGAAAAATTAACAGTAAACATATTTTAAAGAACTGCACATAATGAATGGTTGAATGAAAGGGGTAAGAGATGGTATAACTATAATTGTCCAGGGTAGCAGTTGGCATACATGTAACTGCCCAGACCCTCACTACACAAGGGATTCTCCATTTATGATGTACAACAGGCTGATGAAAGGAATAACTAATATATGGGTTTACAAGAAAAGGAGAAGTTAGGTGATATGAGAGGTATTACACAAAAGTTGAAACAGCAGTGTTAAGGTTTAAAAACAGATTACTAAATATCTACATCTAGGTAATTTATTTTCATGAATGAGTGGTGCATTATTGCGGTTAGCTAGCGATGAAGAGAAAATGGGTTATGAACTCCACTAGGCTTTTAGACTAAAAAATATAAATACAAGTAAATAGCAAATTGTCTAAGAATTAATATAAAGTGGGACTCTGTAAGTCATTTTTTTTTAAGTCAAATGATTCAAAAGTTTCATAAATTTCACTAAATGAATATAACAAAACCATTTTTAATCTCTTTGGATAATAATCAGGTAGAAAATGATCAAAAGCACTTTTCGAAATAAAATTATTATCTTATTATAAGCCCTTATTCAGTTCACAATGTGTGTCTGTCTGTGACTTAATTTTGACTAACATTAGTTTCCAAAGACAACTCAAGAATACCAATTTTTAATCTAATTAGATAATAAATTAAGTATTCATAATTAATTTAAACAGAACAGGAATGATCGCGCATAAACTTTCTGTATATTCTTGTATAAGAGTAAGGGGTTAGCACTTTCAGTGCATTTGGGCTATAGAATTATAGTAGTTGGTGACTAAACCAGTAGATTTTTTTAGAAAACACATTGAAGTAAAAATTTCATAGTATTTGCTTTATGATAATATGATGTAAAATTATCTTTGAGAAATCGGAAATGTGTGAAAAGATAAAGCACTAATTTTCCGCTCTCTTTTTCACACATTAGAATACAATAGTGTAGAAAAAAGAATTGCGCAGCAAAGGTAATGTAAAATTATCCAATTCCTAGTGTTTTTGAGAAATAGTGAGTAGTTACCTTTAATTTTATACCAAGTTAAATTATTAATTTAAATGAGTATCCTAGAAACTGCTTTTTAGAAAAAAAAAATGGTTTATTATTAACTTCTACAAAGTGCATTGGTTTTATGCTACTTATAGAGGGAAAGTAAAAGGGGAAATAATCATCTATATTTAATATTGAAAATATTCCTTGAATTGTCAACATTAACAACAATTTTAAAATATTTGACAGCCATCTAAAGCCCTTTTAACTTTTAAAAGTGAAGATATGATATGTATAGATAATGGATTCCAATACACAATTTTAAATGAAAAGTAAATTACAATTATTTTATTATACCTTTGAAATTGATAGAACTGCAAAAATAAAACAACAAATTCTGTTACAGACTAGACTAAAGACTCTCACAAACTAACACTGTGATGACAATATTTAACAATGAGTACTAAAAATAAGATGGCCTTTAAAATGGAAACTTTAAATTTAGTGGATAACGTTTGTGAAGTAGTTGATAGGGAATTAGTGTTTTCTGAAAAAGTTCACATTGCAGAAGATATATATGAAAATAATGACAATGGCACTATATGTGACTTTAAATTCCATGCTCAATTTTTGAAATACATTAAAATGTTGTGTCAAGAAAACTAATGATGGCATTCTGACAGTGTACACCATACTGCTCAGAGTGGTCGGTTAAGTAGATTTTCAACATTCTTTGAAAAGAGACCAAAATTTCTTCATCAAACTCATTACATTGCCAGCTCAGGCATAGGCAGTCAAAAAGAACACTCCAGTCATGCTGGTTCTGATCTAGTTTCTATTAGGCTTCCTATTTTTTATGCATTACTCAGTGTAAGAGATTGCTATAAAACTTTGGGAAGTAGTTAAAGAATACTCTTGGAAAGGTTTCTGCAAGTAAATAAATTAAATCTTCCTAGGGATGGTGCCCTGGCAGTAGGGTGCAGTTTGGCGACCAGAGTTCCCCAGCAACTGTCTAGTGTCTTAGCACCTGTGGTCCATTGATTGGGCATCCTGCAATGGGGGTCAGGGTTACTACTTGATCCAATTGTTAAACTGCATCAGGCACCGGCACTCTAGTGGTTGTGTTACCCAGTGTGCTCCGGCCTCCCCCATGGTGCCCATATTCAGCATAACTAGAGCCACACAGAAGGGACACTGTAGGCTACTAAAATTATTAGCTAACTGAAACAACGGGCGGCTAAGTCAAACAATGGGCGTACTTTGGCAGCTGAATAACCAAGTATGCTCTGGGCTTCGCCAGAAGCACTATGATGCCTAGGTTCAATTTAAAGAGCTCCTTTTACTATATATAATGGTAGCTACTATAAATGTTGACTAAACTGAACCAGGAACAACTCAGAAGGAGTGATGCCTGTTTTTGTTCAACTATGACGTCCACAAAAATTTTGGGATTTTACACCCCCCCCCCCCCCCCGCCTCATTGTGGGCATCCACAAAAATTTAGTAGACATCTCAATACATGCTGCAAAATTACTAATTCATTACATGCAATGTGTAGATTAACACATTATTAGTTAATCTACACATTGCATGTAATTACATTATTAAATATGGGGATTTAATATTTCGGGTAACATCTATTACTAGGCCTAAATAATAATTGGGAGTTAAATTTTTCCAAGATGTCCATAAGTCTACGGCATGTTAACTTACCGTGTAAATGTGCTAAGACTATCTAAAATTGTGATCGCGCATGGATGCTGTGAACACTGAAGATGCTGTCGACTAAACTTTTTACTGTCATCTGTAGCTGTCTAGCTATCAACGACTATATACGTTCGGATAAATTCGGCTAATCAAAGTGACGTCATTATGTTACTTTCACTCAACTACGCTGCATGTGCTTCGATAACAAACGGCCTCTCCCCTTTTTTTGTGGTCTCGCTGACCGTTAACCCTACACATCTGACCAAGCGAGCATATTATAGTTATATATGCGCTAATATTTAAATATAAAATTGTAACGTGGTTGTTTTCAGTATTTTACTTGAAAAATGACTAGATCTACATAATATTAGGCTTTGACACAAAATAATGATGTAGGCCTACTATGATTTAGTTACAATTGTTTGAAATGTCTAAAAATAAACTTGAAATACCATGAATTTTTTTAGAAAATTGCAGCAATCACTGCCCTATCCCCTCCCGCTTGTAAAAAAACAAATTGTTTTTTTTTTCTTAGGCGGGTGGTAAACAGTTACACTACAGATACATTTACTTGGAGAACTGTTGATTTAATGTATAATCTACATATTATATGCATTTTTAAATTTTTTAAATATATTTTTAAATTTAAAAAATTAACAGATTTTTAAAATTATCAAATGTAAGTATTTTGTGATTTAATTCCGCATGTGGACGTTCACAGTGGCCCAAAGCGAACCCCCACCCAGTCCACAAAAGTCTATTTTTTTCAGACCCCCCCCTGGACGTCATAAATGGATAACCCCTAACCGGGTGACCATGTACAGTGTTAAAGAAACTGAATAATGATGTTAATTAATGCAAATTGCAGAAGGCAGCCAAACCAACTTTTAATTTAGTTGTATGGGCAAAGGGAAATAACCAAATTATTATTTTTTGCAAAATTATCTAAGCTTGGTTATTTTTTTATATTTTTTTTTTACTCATTTTGGAGCCCATGGAAGCAGAAATTTTTAAAATTGCAGAAACTTTCCTAGAAGTATTCTCAACAAAAGTCCCAAGCTTTCTTGGCATAAATGAAAGATGTAGAACTTGAAATGCATAAAAAAAAACCACACACAGACATACATTCATTTTTATGAGAAAAAAACTAAGTTTCCTTATTAACACGCACTAAAACTGCTGCCAGCCCTACTTTCAGCTTTTATGAATATTTTAAATAAGTAAATTCATTAAATGAAAAGTCAATTGAGATATGTTTAACAATTTATTGTTCACAGCACATTGTGTGAAATCACTTCAGGTACAAGCTATAGTTAGGTATCTAAATGTTTAACATTTTACATTCTTTTACTTATACCTTTGTAATGAGTGAAGTAAAAAAAAAATTTCTTATTATTATTTCTAAATGCATATTTCAAAATAGCATAACAGCTTTTAAAATGAATTGATTCATTAATTCTAAATAATACACATATTTAAAAAGCTTTGAGACGAAAATAAAAATGGATCCCAAAACAAAAAATCCATAGGACAGTTTGGTCAGATGCTAGAACTTAGAGAGTACGACTGCTAACCCAGAAATCTCGAGTTTGGACCAAGGACTCGAGTCCATAAAGGTCCCTCAGTCAACCCAGCTCTGACGATTAGCTGCCTAATGTTAGCGAAAGTAAAGTGCACCTATTTCAAGATGATGATGGAGCGAAATAAACAGCATTTAGTTCTTTAAAATTATTTAACTTATGCATATGTTATGCATAAATTAACTTATTTATAATAGCTAAACCAAAATAAAGGTATTAGAATACAGAGAAACAAATTATATAAAGGAAATTTTTTTTTTAAATTGCATAACATACATTTTATTGGTTGGCTTATATATGTACAATTTGCAGCGTCATACTAGTAATAGGTAAAATCAAGAAATAATAATAATTTTGTGAAACTTCGTAACTTGGCCTAAAGTAGTCAAATGAATTTGAACATATTGGAAAACTGGATGTATTCCTCCTAGCAGTTTCTGACAACGGAGTTCCAAAAAAAAGCTGGCTTGTAATATCAGTGTTGGATCCAGAATTAGGATAATTTTGGTAATCAGTTTTGGCTTAATTAATTTATTAGTTTAATCAATTTAGGCCTTAGGCTAATCAATTATTAACGATTAGCCTTATTTTTATGTCTTTTCAATTTTATTATACTAGTTCTAATTATTTAATTTCTAGAATTTTTTCTATTAAGCATAGGCCTATTTGTTATTCATTAGGTCTTTTCATAGAGTAGTTGATAGATTAATCATATCATGACTTTCATCTTATGAGAGTCTTACTCAACTCCTACTCTCTTATTATCTTATAATTATAATATAATCCTATCTCTTATGTGTACGCAATTGTGTAGGCATTATTTTCAGCAATTCATTAGAATGCAGGTCTATTGACATTGACTTAATCTTATTGATAGGCCTATGGGCTATTGGTTTTATTTATTTTTAAAATTAGGTCTAGCCCTAATTAAGTAGGGCCTAATAAAAAAGTAAGTAGACCTAGGCCTCTAGGCGAAGTATTAAAAAAGTATAAGCCCTATATTTATATTAACTTAACTAAGTTAAAATATTCTACTAATCTAAATCTAGATTTCTTGATACTTACTATTAGTCTAGATCTATGTCTATTTATTAACTAATTAGACTAGGCCTAACTAAACAAATGTACTTTGGGTAGGCCTAAAAATAATTAATAAATAGTCCTGCGTCTAGGCCAAAAATAGACTCCAGTTATAGATCAAGAGAATTTTTATGCCAGTGTCCGATAATAGAATCTTCTTTAAAAAAGGGGTGTTAGGTTACCGGTACTTAACTAAATACACACATGGCTGGCCAATGTCAATGCTAACCCTGTCCCTAACCCTAACCCCAACCCTAGTCCTTCCACACACCTAACCCTAATTTCTAACCATATAATGACAATACTACTAACAACTCACACAGAGTGGAAGAGTCTATTATCGGACATCGGTATCTAAAATCATCCAATACATCTATCTGATTCTAGATTAAGAATACATTTGCATTATTAGGAGGTAGTTATTCCTCATGCCTCATCCATAGATCTATATATAATATAGGGGTAATCTATCGTTTTAGGTACGTAAAATCGGCCGAGATTAGTAATGTGCGAGAAAGGTGGCTCATTAATATGGCTTTAATACAAGTATATTTATATTTTTGTGTCAAATATAATCGACTATTGAATAATAAACCAAAAGAATTGTCTAATATATCAAGAAAGGACAGAAATAGACTTTAAGGTGATACCAATACAGGTAGACCCTATTTTTAAAGATTGTTGAATTTCAGCCACAAATATGTATGACAATTTTTAAAAAAAATTTTTTTACTCTTATTGAGGAAAAGGTGTGATTTTTGTTACAATTTTACGAATTCACAAAAAAATCAGAAACAAAAAAATAGTTAGCAAAATTCAATTAAACTGTGCACAGACATAAACAATGATATATTAAACAATTTGACAATTTTTTTGTCAATGTATCCTCAAAAATAAATTAGTTATCCACATTAACATGACTCGTACCCCCAAATTCAGGGAAATTTGTCGAATTTTGTAACTACCGGTACTGTACAGTACAGTAAAAAAAAAGTTATGCATAGAATCTAATATGAAAATTGTCATTTTAAACAGCCTTGTTTGCGAGCAAGATCTGCTATATAAACAGCTGCCATCTGTAAATTACAGTGGTTTCACCTGAATCTCTAGCTAAAATGTTACCAAAAACTCAAGTAAATGAGCTTGGTTGCATCTGATAAAAACATTGCTAATCTTTATTAATTACTGAAAAGTTTTAATACAATTGTTTAAACCCAGATACATGAACGAAGGGTTGAAACATTTCTGTAACTTTTACAACATAAATTGACGAGTCACCCTTTTTTCACATTACTAGCCTCGTTCGATTTTACGTACCTAAAACAATAGATTACCAATATACTTTAGGGCCCTAGGCCCTATACTATATGACTATATATTTTTTAGGGATGATCATTGATTAGTGATTAGGCCAATACAAAAACAATGATAGGCCAGGGCTTAGGTTAGGTAGGGCCTAGCTAGATTCTAGGCATCATAATCATTAGGCGACATTAGGCCTACTGAGTACTGACTACTGAGTAATGATTACTCCCATTGGGTGATTCCTTAGGCTACAAACTACATTAGTTAGGGCAGTTAGGGCCTACTAAATATTTGTATAGGCTTAGTATTAAGAAGTAGGCCTAACTAGAATCTAGAGTAACTTCCACAGTAGTAATAACAGAATAGGCCATTCTACTAACCGCTAACTTCCTCTGTTCCTTCAGTCAGTATGTCTTTTGTCAAGTTCGATAACTGGCCAGTGAGGGAAGATAAACTGCCTCCGATCCATGACATATTTGTATGAATCTATTAAAGCATACTACGACTAAACTTAATGAATACTTTATTTTGATTCTGATAAAGCTCTTGGCATTGGATAGCTTTTTACGTATCCGAAAGCTTTCTGAATTTGATAAACATTAAATTTTATTGAAACTGATGAAAATAGCAGCCATGTTGTTTTGACGTGTCGGGAAAATTACTAAGGAGGGGGAACCACTCTAAATATTTTAAAATTCAAAATGCTTTTGGGGCATTTTAGGCGAACTTTACAAATTTAATCATTCTGAAAAAAAAAAAACTAGGCTAGACTTAGATCTAATTATATTCTTGTTAAATGTGACATTTTTTCTCTCGCATTTTATTCTTACCTTCTACCGATTGTTAGACTACGTGGGATAAAATGCGAAGATGTGTGCGAAAATTATATTTCTACCGCACCCGATTGATGATTTACAACAAACTTTGATTGCAGACTTCAAATACTTCTAAAGTAGCCGCAGATGTAGGCTATAATCCAATTAGCCACACCCCCCTCCCGTGAGCAGAGTTTCTTCCAGGCACCTTTTGAGGGGGGGGAGGGGGGGGGCGAAATGGAATTTATATAGAAAATATATACTTTTAACAGCCCCCCCCCCCCCCCCCCCCCCCCCCCACACGGAGAAAAAGGTCTGGAAGAAACACTGCCCGTGAGGCGTCAAAACGGCCAGTGACAAAACTTGAATTTGTTAATACTTTTATGTACCAAAGTCATTTTAGATGTAATATGTGTGTTAAAGGTTTTATAAGTATAGTAATATTTATAACAAACGTAAAGCGTATGAATAGTAGGTTTTAATTCTGTTATACATAAAATCTTTAATTGAATCTAATTGAATGTTCCTATGTCTTAATTATACTGGGTATTTTTGTCACGGGCCGTTTCGACGGTGCGCCATTTATCTCCAGCCCCCTCCCCTTCCCATCCTCGATTCGGTTCCCAGAAATATGCGCAACGGAAAAAAAACGCGCAACGTGCCCATAACTAGTGGTCCAAGGCTCCGACTAACGGGGCTCATCTACGTGCCCATAAATAGGGACCCAAGACTCCGACTCAAGCCTAGGACTCCTCAATGTGCTTATAGCTCGGGACCCAAGGCTCCGACATCTATGGCTCCTACGCGCCCGTAGCTAGGGGCCCAAGGCTCCGACTAACGGGGCTCCTCTACGTGCCCGTAGCTAGGGACAGAAGGCTCCGACTAACACTCAGGACTCCTTTACAAGCACATAGCTAGGGGACCAAGGCTCCGACATCTATGGCTCATACGTGCACGTAGCTAGGGACAGAAGGCTCCGACTAACACTCAGGACTCCTCTACAAGCACATAACTAGGGGACCAAGGCTCCGACATCTATGGCTCATACGTGCACGTAGCTAGGGGTCCAAGGCTTTGACACACCTAGGGCTCCTCTACGTCCCCATAGCTAGGGGCCCTAAGGCTCCGACTAACAGGGTTTCTATAGTTTGCCCGTAGCTAGAGGCCCAAGGCTGCGACTCGCACCTAGGGCTCCTTTACGTGCCCATAGCTAGGGCCCAAGGCTCCGACATCTATAGCTCCTAAGTGCCCTTAGCTAGAGGCCCAAGGCTTTGACACACCTAGGGCTCCTCTACGTCCCCAAAGCTAGGGGCCCTAAGGCTCCGACTAACAGGGCTCCTCTACGTGTCCGTAGCTAGAGGCCCAAGGCTGCGACTCGCACCTAGGGCTCCTCTACGTGCCCATAGCTAAAAGCCAATAATTAGGGACCCAAGGCTCTGACTCATGCCTTGCACTCCTTATGTGCTCATAGCTAGGGGCCCAAGTCTCCGACTAACACTCAGGGTTCCTCTAAACGTCTATAACGAGGTGCCCAAGGCTCAAACACTCAGGGCTCCTCTACGTGCCCATAACTAGGGACAGAAGGCTCCGACTTACACCGAGGGCTCCTCTACGTGCCCATAACTATGGGCCCAAGGCTCCGACTTACACTGAGGGCTCCTCTACGTGCCCATAACTAGGGGCCCAAGGCTCCGACTTACACCTAGGGCTCCACTGCACTCTTATGGCACCGCTTTTGTGTATAGAGCCCCTCTGAAAACTCCCATTCCAGTACATGGTATCGATACTTGCTTATGGCGACTCACGATATGGTTCCGACACTGCTACATGGGCACTGTTTACCAAAGTTTTCACGCCTGCAATCGCTACGTGCTCATGTCGACACTACGGGCCCATGGTGACGCTACGGGCTCATGCGTCGCTCTGACTCCTAGTAACGCTAGGGCCCATGGCTCCGACACACGTGAAGGCTCCATTACTTTCTTGTAGCTCAGCAACCATACGTGCTCATGACTTCGATACTACGGGCACATAACGCTCATGACTCTTGACTCACGCCGATGACTCGTATAAGCCCTTCGTACCCATAAATTTGTACGTGGTCACAGCGTCCGTGGGCCCACATTTACGCCCCCCCCCCCACCCCCACACGCCAATTGTTCTACTGCGTTCTTATCGCTCGATGCATACTTACGACCTTACATGCATACTTACATAATGACTTTGGAGAATGTGTTTCTAGCAAGCACACGAAATTCCTAGATTCATGTGTAAATTGTAAATATGATTTAATCAATTTTAACAAAGTAATCACACACTGGGAACAAAGAAAATGATTTTCCCTGATCTTTTTTTTTTCAAATTGCTATAAGCAGAAATGAGTTATAACTTATGTCACCTGGTAAGTAGATCAAGTAGCAAATAAAATATTTTCTCAGTCAAATCTCACGTTCAGAGGTTCTCAATCATATGGCTGGTGAGGTCTTACAAAATTTAATGTTTAAAAATTTTACTGTTCAGCAATTTACTTTTTACAAGCTTTTATTTCGTTCGCAACGTCTGTTTGTTTGTTTGTGGCAAATATTGTAACTCTATTATTCAGCAATTTATTTCTTTATTTGATGACAATGCATGGATAGCTATTTTTAAATTTAATTAATGTTAAATTAGTCATTAAAAATTAATTAAGCGGTTTCGAATCTAAGGAGGCATAACAAGATTAAATGCTAGAGATCACTAGATAACAGAAGGGGAGATAACTAGCCGTTATCACCCGACAAGTCTGGTGAGTTGTGTTCATGCCGAATGTTAGCAACCGTAGAGCTGAGTCGAATTAGTGAAGTCTACAGATAACATTTTAAACAATTTGAAACCAAGGGGATTAAGAACTACGAGCCGACTATCCTTCGCTTTATCAGCAGGCTGTTGTCTGTAAATTGTGGTCAAGTACGGCTCCTTTTCACTGGGCAGATAATGATTAATAATGATCTTTTAGATATGGCGAGCTACTGATGGTGTTTTAAAGCAAATATTTTTAGTTGTGTCGACTCCATAAATTAGGAATCACTAAAAAGTACAAAATAAAACAAATAATAAATAATGAAAAATTTGGTCGCTTTGAGATCTTTTACATATTTTAGCGACAAAAGCTTTTACTAAAGAAAGCAAATACACTGTATTTTTTTTTCACTGCATTTAAAAAGCTTGTTGCTGTAATAGATTGAGATAATTGTGAGGTCAAGGGAACTCACTCTTCTGTATTAGTTATATTTATTATATTGTTATCTTGAGTGATGTCCCTTGTGCACTTCCTTCCGCCCTCTCTGTGTGTTACCATCGTGGTAGTTAGACCCAATAAATGTGTTATATACAACCACAGGCTTCTGTCGTCAATCTATTATAACTGGCGACGAAGGATAAACATCTACTAGAAAGAGCACCTACTTACGCAAAAAAGAGGTTTGCTAGAGCTTATTAGCTAATTATTTCTAGAATTATGGCGCTGTATGGCCAAATAAAAGAATTTGATGCGAATGATGAAATCATTCAAGATTACCTAGAGAGGTTAAGCTTTTACCTAGAAGCAAACAACGTGACGATAGAAGCCAAAAAGAGAGCTATTTTGTTAACAGTCATAGGGCCTCAACAATTTAGGCTACTAAAAGACTTATGCACACCAGCTAGTCTAACTACCAAGAGCTTTAACGAGCTGAGCAAATTGCTAACAGACCACCATGCGCCTACCCCATCAAAGTTTCTATGTCGAGCTAGATTTGACAGTAGGACTCGTCAACCAAACGAGTCAATATCAGAATATGTTGCTGCTTTACGTCATTTAAGTGAATTCTGTGAATTTGGAGAAACGCTGTCTGACAGACTATGTGAAAAGTTTGTGACAGGTGTAAACAGCCCTGATATTCAAAGAAAGTTGCTGCTCGAGTCAGATCTAACATTAGAAAAAGCAATACAACTTGCAACTTCAATCCAGCAGTCATCAGATGCGGCGAGATCTTTAGCACCTTCAGAGATCCATGCAGTAAACAGCAGGTTAGTCAATAAACATCAACCCCAACAGAGCATTCCAACTTATGCTAAACAGCCTGCTCGTTCAAATCCTAGATCTAAATCTAGTAATAATTATCAAAAATGTCATCGATGCAAAGGTCCCCATGCATCTCATCGGTGCAAGTTCAAGTTAGCAACTTGTTATAAGTGCGGTAAGCAAGGTCACATTGCTAAGGCCTGCTTTGCAAAGTCTTCGTCTGTTGCTAAATCTAGCCAGTCAAGACAGTACCGCAACCAAAAGCAGCACTATGTTAACTCTCACCAAGACTACCTAACCCAACCAATGAACCACTCTACCTGTGAAAATGCTCAAATTGATTTGCAGCCGGATTTCAACCTGTTCTCTGTTAAATCAATAAGTCATGCTCCCATCAATGTACAAGTTAATATCAACGGTAAGAGCATCAGCTTCCAACTTGACACTGGAGCATCTCTAACAGTCATAACAAAGAAAGATTTTGACGCTGTCGCAGGAGGATCAGTGCCTCTACAGCCATGTCACAAGTGCCTAACAACATACACTGGTGACAACGTTCCGGTAATAGGAGAGTGTATGGTTCATGTAAGTTATAATGGTCAAAGTGTTAAACTTCCTCTTCTTGTGGTTGAAGGAAATGGACCGCCATTACTAGGTAGGAACTGGTTAAGTGATCTTAAGTTAAATTGGGAGAGTATTTGTTCATTGAAGAATGTAAAAGAATCTAGTCTTACTTCACTAGATAAAGTAATATCTGAAAATAAATGTGTTTTTGGTAATCATGGATTA